GCAGCAGGGTCCCACTGTGTAGCCCAGACAAGTCTGAAACTCCAAATATTCCTCTGCCTCAATTTCTCATGTACTGAGATTTTAGTTGAATAACCCCATGACCAATCTATAATCTGTCTTTTAAAAAAAATAAATAAGATACTTTTTTAAAAATGACTATTGAGCTCCCAAAACTAGTAACTGATTGAATCAAGTATTTGGAAATTCCAGATTCCATGATTTTTGCACTGAAACAGACACTGTATGGGCTATATCATCACAAAGGAGAGGACGGTAGTTCCAGCAAGGCAGTGACAGGCCACAAAACCAGCTCTCTGCAAGGTCACTAGCAGAGGGAGTGCTCAGCCTCCTCCTGTCCCGTTTGCCCCTCTGGATCCTAGGTGTGCATGTATACATTCCTTCATTTCATCATGTGACTTGAACACATTCCGTATAAATAATGATGCAGTGCTTTGTGAGAGTCTTTGGGCAGATTTGACAAATACAGGAAAGAAAGTGCCAAGTGGAGAAAGCCTGAGTGGCAATAGCATTAAAATCGGGATGTGGTTATGTCCTGCAGACTTGTAGTCTCTACACTTTGGCCATTTGTGACCTTTTGTGTTCCTGGCCCTTTGTTGCATGACCAAGCTTCCTAGATGTGAGAGACTCTAGGTAGGCTGACTAGACCTCAGTAGATGAACTTCCACTGAGACATATCTGGGGACACTAACTTGACACAATAGACCTTAAGACAAATGAAAAAAACGTATGAATTCTAGTGGGGGGGTGCTATGGGAGGGTGCCAGTGGGGAAGGGGGTATAAAGATGATTAAGGTTGATTGAGATGTTCTGTATGAAATACACAAAAATTCAATAAAGAAAAATAGAAAAAAGCAACCCCCCAAAAGGAAAAAGAAAATAAGGTATCAAGGTTCAGTGTCTTACTCAAAGGAAAATAAGAGAGAGTTTACTCTTGAACCAAATATGAGTGACTATGGCCTGGGCGCATGGATTCAGAACATGTTCCAATATGGGACAATTTCAGTTGCTGAAGTTACAGCCAAGAAAGTCCTGAATCAAGGTATGTTTCAAGTCCTTTAGTGGGAACGTCAGGTGAACACCTTACAGAAAAGCAAGGAAATCTTTGCTGTGGGTTTCAGATGCTACTGATGACATCCTTAGCTTTCTGTTGGTAGGACTTACACATCATAAAATGTTTTACCCAATAGCCACAGGAGGTCAGGTCAGACACAGAGGTGGGAAATGAGTGGTCGCTGAGGGGACTCAAGAGCGTCCAGGGTAATTTGACTCTTGGTCTGAAACAGCCCATGAAGTTCTAATCAATCAGCCTTGAAGCATCCTTTACACAGCTGTGGCTTTTGTTTGTTTGTTTGTTTCCCTAAGAATCTTGATTCCCAATCACAGAATGTAAAATACCCAAGGACAGGTGGTCAGACAGAGGACCTAAATAAAAGGTAAAGAATAACAACTTTGCATTTTATGTTAATATTTCAATATATACATTTTCATTCTCTTAAGAATACAGAAAATATTATGTTAATATTTTGTTCTTAATATTTCTCATACAAACAATAAAGTATAACTAACTTTTAGAATTACCATACCCCCTAGAACTAATCTGTAATTACCTTTCTAGGAGCTTTCATTGCCCAGAGTATAGTTACAAAAGGCTTTTAATAAAAGCTTTGACACTATTCCTCAAAATAATTTGTTTTCAAGAGCAAATGAAACTTGAAGGCATTAAATTTGCACAGCACATAAAAGATCTACTTGGAAAAGTTAGAAACATTTGAGGCACAGTGATGCTCACGAAAGAGTATCAAATGGATGTTCCTTTTATTCGGAGGCTCAGTCTGCATAAAAATTAAGATAACATAGGGGCTGGAGAGATGGCTCAGTGGTTAAGAACACTGACTACTCTTGCAGAGGACCCAGGTTCGATTCCCAGCACCCACATGGTGGCTAACAACCATCCTAACACCAGTTCTGGGGGAATGGGACATCTTCTTCTGACCTCCGCGGGCATTGCACGACACAGGTGCACTTACACACATGCAGGCAATACACTCGTACACATAAAATAAGGATGATAAATAAATTTGGGGGTGGGTTCTTTTTGAGACAGGATCTCCCTGTAGCTGGAGCTGTCTTGGAACTCACTATGTGGACCAGACTGGCCTTGAACTCACAGAGATCTGCCTGCCTCTGCCTCCGGAGTGCTGGGATTAAAGGCATGTGCCACCACGCCAGGCCAAAATTTTTTTTTTAATTAAGATAACATAGATTTCATATGTAATAACCAGCTATTCTAGAGCAGAAGACAACAGTCTTGGTCATAGGAACCAACAGGCAGTTGACTTTGTGATCCAGTCTTACTAAGTGACTGCCACCTCTTGGATGTAGTCAGTATTTGTGAAGAGCTGAGCAGAGCATCACTGCCTTTTTTTTTTTTTTTTTTAAGTTTTAGTCATCACATGACCTAATTTCCATGGCATGAACCATCTGGTAAATTTCAGATGCTTCAGATATTTTAAAGAAAGTTGCCATTTCCTGGAGCTGGAAGTTCCGAGGGATCACCTGTCGGGATCGTAGCCCTACAGCAGGCTTTGTTTTCCTAGGTGCAATGTGGTGTCCTGCGCTTTGGGGGCTGGGCTGCGCCGTGGGCTGGAGGTGCATTTCCTAGGTGCAAGGTGGCGTCCTGCGCTTTGGGGGCTGGGCTGCGCCGGCTCTGGGCTGCAAGAAGATGAACGCTGGTACTAAATGTTTCCTCAGGAGCTGGCACAGAAAATCAAGGGCTACCAGGAGCAGATCGCGTCTTTGAATTCCAAATGCAAGATGCTAATGATGAAGGCCAAGCATGCCACCATGCTGCTGACAGTGACAGAGGTTGAGGGGCTGGCGGAAGGGATGGAGGATCTGGACCGAGAGCTCCTCCCCACGTCTTCGGCTCACCCCTCCTTGGTCATGGTAAGAATCTGCAGCCTGCACCTCCCCCCTAGCCTGCCTTGGTCTTTGGACTGGAGTCTGGCGTGTGGCCCTACTGCCCCAGCTAGGCTTATATCGACTTTAGAGCTTGCAAATTCAAATTCAGGAGTGATTTCCTGGACTCCCAGTGACTACCCTGGGGCCAGACTCAGCCTTTAACACTGTAAACAGTGACAGTAATAATGAAAGTATTTACTTTAGACTATGAGTTCAAGACTGGGCCTTCATTCATTTTCAATTTTGCAGTAATACTGACAGGCTGAGCTTTATTTTGAAAACAGTTTCTTTGCACCGTGGTCTGGTTTCTGGAGGATGTGGGTGTTATGACACATTTAACTGTGTTTTCCAAACTCACTAGCTAACTATATACATATAAATGTACTCTGTCTGGTATATTATTAGAAAAAAAATCTATAAAATTCTTATAATAATGATAAGAAAAGCTATTATGAGAAAAAAAATTTAAAAACTGAAAGTTTAATTTTGGATTAAAAGAAATAGACTCTAGCCAGGTGTGGTGGTGCACGCCTCTAATCCTAGCACTTGGGAGGCAGAGGCAGGCGGATCTTTGTGAGTTTGAGGCCACCCTGGTCTACACAGTGAGTTCCAGGACAGCTGGGGCCACAAGGAGACCCTGTCTCAAAAAAAAAAAAAGACCAAAAAAAAGAAATAGACTCTATTAACCTCTCTTTTGCACCATTATTTCCCACACATTTTTGCATCGAGACTATGTTGAGTGTTTTGATAACCGCAGTGTCTTCCTGTGCTGCATATCGAGACTATGTTGAGTGTTTTGATAACTGCAGTGTCTTCCTGTGCTGCATTTTTTTCCCTTCTATGTGAAATGCTTCAGGTAATGTGTAACCTGACCTGGACCATGTGATAATATGTAACTTCAGATAAATTTATCTCCCTAGGATATTTGGAACTTGAGCTGTCACAACAGAAGTTTTATTTCATAGACGCTTCCTCATTTCCATGATTCATGATTTTTCTACCTGTTTTCTAAAGATACAAATATACTCATAAAAATAGAGATATTTAATAGAGCAACAAAACTTGAATTTGCTGGGGCACTCAGAGATCTCTGTTTGAGAGATGATCTTAACATCATATTCATTCAAGGATGAAATTTTAAAATACTAACACAGAATTAATAATGTAACTTAGAATCTCAGCCAATCCAGCCTCGGGTGGATAATGATCTGTTTTGACCTGTGCCTGTCTAGGTTTTGTGCTAACATTGCTAACTGATTTTCATGTCCTTTGGGCTACATTTTGCGTGGCAGATGACTGCAGGTCGCTGTCACACTTTGCTGTCACCTGTCACTGAAGAATCTGGGGAGGAGGGAACCAACAGTGAGATTTCTTCTCCACCTGCCTGTCGCTCCCCTTCACCTGTGGCTAACACAGAGGCTTCTGTTAACCAGGTACCTCCCACTGTCTTCCCCTCACTGAGCTCTGGGTGGATGCAGGACATCATTGTCGGCCCTAACTAGTCTGGATCTCAGGCTCCATCACATTTGGGTCCAGGAATTCGTCATGAGGGGCTGTAGTTCCATCATTTGTGATTGCTGTGTGAGGTGACTGGCCCAGTCTGTCATCTCTTCTGAGCTACTGATGGGATGAGCAAATTTTAGTTTGTGGAAATTACAGCTGATGTGGACAAAAAATTCATTCATGAGAATTATAGCCCGAAACAGCTCTCTTTTAAGGCCTTATAGCTTTAGTTTGTAGCCGTCATGTGGAAAGAAGTACTGCATCCCAACAGATAATAAAAGGCTTCTGTCACTTTTGTGAAGTCACATGATCCTATGGCTCATATTATACTTTTATATACTTGTGATAGAGGCATTTTAGCATATTTTAAATATAGCTTATATTATCTGTCAAAACATTTAGTGAGAAATATTCAATAAA